CGTGCTGTCTTTTTGCCTGTCTGCTACGGTCGACAAGGTGGAGGCAGGTCGTGACATGGCACGGATGGCTGGACACCGAAGCGACGCAGGCTGACCATCAACCCTCTCAAGGGTGACCCATCTTTGGTGGCTATTAAGCAGCCTCCTGAGTATGCTGAAGGCATCATACTCACCTAGGTCTGGTGCCATTGCAGCATAGCACTTCTGCGCTTCACGAGGCATGCTTGCTTCTCTTTTCATGACTTTCCCTCGGGGCTCTGTCAGCATCTTCTTTGACTCTTGCTCTTCTTCGAGCGGTCATTTGGATCGTGAGAGAAAATAGTCTGCAGGGACTGCTGTCCCTGTCCAATATAGTGCCTTCAGCTTTCAGTGACGTCTTTCAGAAGCGACTACTAACAAAAGTCTCCGCACTTTCTCTACACTGGCATGGATCGAAAGCATCCTTACATATATGTCACTCCAGAGGCACTCCCGTAGCTTCTGGCGTACCAGAAAGACATCTAGTTGAACCATTGCTCCCGTTTGTGATTTAAAAAAAAAAAACTTGCCCTATCCTTGTCTTTTAGTGTTTAATGTTTAGACCAACAGCTGACCAACAGTCAGCTGTTGGTCAGCGTACCATATGTTTAGGAACCCCCTCCCCCTCGCCCTCGTTTCACGCCCTAAATTTTACGCATGCAGAAATCAAGAGGGGGGTCAGGATATCCGGACCCCCCCCCCCCCCCCCCCCCCCCCTCTAAATCCGCCCCTGTCCAATCCGGATTTGGTTCAGAATCGGGCTAGTACTCGCTTTATTCTACATTTTAGGTTTGGTAGCATCACTGAACTTAAATACAACTTAAATGCAGTTTATTTTTTTTTCAAACTCCCCTGTGTTCATGTAGGCATATTAGTAAACTTTGTCTCCTTCATAGGTTTTAATTCCTGCACGATTTATTCATCTTGCCACCGCACCGGATATTCCCTCGCATTGATCACTGTTCCTCTCAACAGGCCTGTCGACTTTAATGGCCTGTCTTAAGCCACCGTTTCCCTCCAAGACATTGACTCCTTTCGTGACATATTAACCTAATTATTTTATTAAATCACTCCATTATGCAATACCCTAACCCCAGGGCTCTTAGGATACTTAAAATAAATAAACAATATGAAAAAAAGTCGGTAGTTGGAAAGAAACTGGACGATTCTTGTCGTGAGAAGCCAAGTCTTTTGATATGTGGCACCAAGTCTTCATAAATGTTTTTTTGCAAACAGAAGCCAGGCTCAGATGGCAAATGTAGCACAGGTTTAGTTATTGTCCACGAAAGAGCACGAGCTTGTTGAAGTATTGCCGGGCGGGCACTCCCCTTTCCTCGGCACTTTGCTGCCGGCACATGTGGTGAATCCTCAGCTGAAAGTAGTGTGCCAGCGTCTTCTTGAGCATGACAGAGAAGTGAGATTGATTGTCAATTGTTTGTGCAACAAACAGGTGGTCGAACATCTTGAAGGATGTCGACAAGGAGACAATACTCAATGTCTCGGTTTGCAGCCTGAGAAGCCAGTTCCGCCCTCCCTTGGCCACTGTGTCGAAGTTTCTGCGAAGCACCTTCTCGGCAGTGGTGCAGAGGTGCAGGATGTCTGGGGATGGACTGTGGAGACCGCCCTTGTCCTTGACACGCACCAGGTCACATTTTTCAGTGGTGAGAAGTGCAATCCTTGCACAGTCCGGGCATTTTGCGTCTTCTGCAAAGTGAACGGCCACATTGCCCGCAATGTATTGTACAATGCTCTCGGCAAACTCCGAGAGAGGCTTGTAACCTATAACCCACGTGGCGTCGGCGTCGTCCTGGTTTGTGTCAGCTGTCGGGTCTTGCTGGCGCTCGTCCAACGAGCTCAAAAAAAGCGTCTCCGTGCCGTCGACCTGACAGTTGCCTCGGCTCGAGGGCAGCACATTCGCGATGAGGAACTTCCTGTACGCCGAGCGAAACTCGAGGGCCGTAGGACTGTTGTTGTTGCCCGTTCTGTTCCTGATTGTTGCAAAGAGCAATTCGAGGTGGTCCTGACTTAGCTTCCGTGTCAGCAGGCACTTGAGCAAAGGACTGCTGATCCAAACGAGGTCTTCAGCCAGACCCTTGATGGACTTGAGGGCCAACAGAAATCCAAGAGTGGCGGTCTTTCTTGAACCTCGGATCAGGGGTCAGCCCGTGGTATCCTTTAGGCCTCTGAGGTAGCGCGAGGCTTTGTCAATCCTTGTCAAGATTGTCTCCTTGTTGTTGACGCGAATGGGGGCCTTGCTGCCAAGAGCGAGAGGGTGGCAGGAATTGGTGAGGTCAAAGGTGTCGTCCACTACTGCTGCAAACTCGGCAGTGGCCTCCACACCCTCAAAGCCGGAGATCTGCTTTTCCTTGCAGAACAACAAGGCGCAGCTGACGGAGCGGCTTAACGTCTGTGCTGCCAACGACACCTTCATCTTCTATTGGTGGAAATCGGTGTGCCACCTCCGAAGTTTGTTCCCGGCGTGTAGGTCTTCCTTTTGTTGTAGGCGATCCAAACACATTATGTAATGCCAGGCAACTGTCCTACCCGCACCATCCCTGATGAGCTTCTTTTCAGCCAGCAGGTTTCGCATGAGCTTCAACATGTGGCATGCGTCTAAGATTGCATACACCCTTCTTGAGGGGTCGGAGGGGTGAGGGAACCAGCCCTTCATTCTTGGTTCCGCCAGGCTTACGCCAAGCGCTGAGAGCATGGATAGATTGCAGCTTGTGCCGTCGCACGTCACAGAGATGCAGTCGGCACCAGCCTCCTTCAATTTTATCAGGTACTGCTGGACCAAATTGGAGCAAACAGTGCCGTCGAGTCCATCAATGAGGGCATATCCCAGAGGTAGCTTCCAGTTGCGGTTGACGGCAACTGCCAGGAAAACAAGCCCGTGCTTCGCATATGCAATGCAGTCGTCTTTGAGGATGCCATGGCCCAGGTCGCAGTAGCCTACAACTTCCTTGCCGTCCCAGTCCGCTTGTTTCTTTATACTAATCTCATCTACCATCAGGCTGATGAGAAGAGGTCCTTTCTGAGCTTCGTGGGAAACGTTTTCGAAGCACTCCTTTGTGAAGCCCGGCTTCGCACCAATCACGGCTGCCCTTTTCCGAAGTGCGCTGGGGTGAGGCAGTTTCACATTTATGATTATAATGCAATTAAATGCAAAGGTGCAAGCGAGCTGGACAAGAATGACGAAAATGACCGGACCAGGCGGATTTTTTCGGTCGCGCACCAGTCACCTAGCTGTGTTTAGAGATTTATGTTTGTCCTTTGTCCCCCTTGTTCCCCTTCTCCAGGGATTATTTTCGTCAGTTTCACATGTTTGCGCATAAATTTGTAAGCTTTGGCCGAATAGAAATGTAGTGTCAAGGCAAACTTGCGCACATCTACGAGTAGCTGTTGTTTGCCCTTCCTGTTTTTTTTTCAGCACATGTCTCGCAGTGTGCCACTGACGATGTCCAGGATGGCTACCGCTGGTTGAGGTAGCTGTGCCCTGAGTTTCTTCAGTAGCGCATTGAGTTCTTTTATCTTCATTCCCTTCCGGTTTGCCTTTTTTTTTTGCTTCTCTTAGGATCTTCTTGGCTTTTTGCAGCTTGCGCTTGCTGGCAGCTAGAAGCATCCTGTCCCGTCGTGGAGACACAACTGTGTAGCTGTGGTCGCCAGAGCAGGTGGCCGGCCGTGAGGATGGAGCTTCAGGGCTGCTTGACGCTGCTTGAGAATTTGCTGTGGATCGGGCGTGTGGAGAGGGAAAGTCAGTCTGGGGGGACCGTTGAGATCGGACCACTTGGTAGGTGGAGGGAAAGTCAGTTCGGGGGTGCTGTTGCGGTCTGTCCGCTTGAGGGGTGAACACTGTGTGGGCACTGCTCCTTGTTTGAGGTTAGTCTTGCCAACAAGCCTGTGGGAGCAGTCATTTTCGAAGTGCTCTAAACACAGCTTGGAGAACTTGGTGGGAGTCCAGTGTATGCATTCCATTTTCTGCAGCCATGCCTGGAGGAGTTCTGGATGTCTCAGTGGAAATCTGCGGCAGACAACGAGGTCGGACTGTCAAAACACCGAAACAATGCTGTCTTTCAATAAAGCAAATACATATTTGTGCATTTCTAATTATTGTTTGTGTGCATTTTATTATAGAAAAATATGCTTGTTCTAAACTACCCCTTCTGCCTCATTTATATGCCACTAGTATTTGGAGTTTCTGAAACATTTGTTGCAAGTATGACGAGCAAATAATTTGAAATGTTTCAAACCCAATTTGGAGTAGTTGAGATAATGTGCTTTAACCACAGAAAAGCTTTCAAATACGTGGGGTTGTCCTACATAAATGTGCCCAAAACTACAAGTTTAGATCCAATGATTGTGCTTGCTTGGCTATCGAATATTTAACTGTATTATAATGATGCGACTTAATTATGCCGAAATGCGGGCTAAGGTTCGTAAAGATCGCAACGCAGTTGGAAAGAGTTTACCGCAGTAATTAGAGAGTTAGTGGAAAGCTTACCCCTGGAACGTTATTGCCGAGTCCTTCTTGTACCTGTTAGTACAGTTAGGAGCCGCGCACGAATGCGGCATAGCTTTTAGTGTTCAAATCCCGTTGAAAATAAAATGGCAAAGGAATCGGACACGACGAGCTGACAGCCTCTGAACCACAGGAATATGCGCAGTCGTCTGCTATCTCTTGGCTGCAAAACTAAACGAAGCTTGATTGTAGTCAATGTTGCAGATTACTATATTACATCAGTTATAAGCACTAAAGAACTGTGCCACTTTGTCAACATTGCAGATATAACCTAAATCACAAAAAAAATTGCGCGCCAAAAATGTCGTCTGCTACTTTTTGCGCGCCCTTGCTGCTGTTGTTCAATTCCATGAAATGCCCAAACCCGCATCTTCAAGCGATAATACGAAATCGGCATACACATATCAAGCAACAAATAGGAATATCCGTTCTCAGTCGACCTGACAGTTTAGACGCATGCCACATGTTGAAGCTCATGCGAAACCTGCTGGCTGAAAAGGAGCTCATCAGGGATGGTGCGGGTAGGACTGGACGACACCTTTGACCTCACCAGTTCCTGCCACCTTCTCGCTCTTGGCAGCAAGGCCCCCATTCGCGTCAACAACAAGGAGACAATCTTGACAAGGATTGACAAAGCCTCGCGCTACCTCAGAGGCCTAAATGATACCACGGGCTGACCCCTGATCCAAGGTCCAAGAAAGACCGCCATTCTTGGATTTCTGTTGACCCTCCAGTCCATCAAGGATCTGGCTGAAGACCTCGTTTGGAGCAGCAGTCCTCTGCTCAAGTGCCTGCTGACACGCAAGCTAAGTCAAGACCACCTCGAATTGTTCTTTGCAACAATCAGGAACAGAACGGGCAACAACAACAATCCTAGGGCCCTCGAGATTCGCTCGGCGCACAGGAAGTGCCTCATCGGGAATGTGCTGCCCTCGAGCCGAGGCAACTGTCAGGTCGACGGCACGCAGACGCTTCTTTTTAGTTCGTCGGACAAGCGCCAGCAAGACCCGTCAGCTGACACAAACCAGGACGACGCCGACGCCACCTGGGTTATAGGATACAAGCCTCTCTCGGAGTTTGCCGAGAGCATTGTACAATACATTGCGGGCAATGTGGCCGTTAACTTTGCAAAAGACGCAAAGTGCCCGGACTGTGCAAGGATTGCACTTCTCACCACTGACAAATGTGACCTGGTGCGTGTCAAGGACAAGGGCGGTCTCCACAGTCCATCCCCAGACATCCTGCATCTCTGCACCACTGCCGAGAAGGTGCTTCGCAGAAACTTCGACACAGTGGCCAAGGGAGGGCGGAACTGGCTTCTCAGGCTGCAAACCGAGACATTGAGTATTGTCTCCTTGTCACCATCCTTCAAGAGGTTCGACCACCTGTTTGTTGCACAAACAATTGACAATCAATCTCACTTCTCTGTCATGCTCAAGAAGATGCTGGCACACTACTTTCAGCTGAGGATTCACCACATGTGCCGGCAGCAAAGTGCCGAGGAAAGGAAAGTGCCCGTTCGGCAATACTTCAACAAGCTCGTGCTCTTTCATGGACAATAACTAAACCTGTGCTACATTTGCCATCTGAGCCTGGCTTCTGTTTGCAAAACACCATTTATGAAAACTTGGTGCCACATTTCAAAAGACTTGGCTTCTCACGACAAGAATCGCCCAGTTTCCTTCCAACTACCGACTTTTTTCATTTTGTTTATTTATTTTAAGTATCCTAAGAGCCCTGGGGTTAGGGTATTGCATAATGGAGTGATTTAATAAAATAATGAGGTTAATATGTCACGAAAGGAGTCAATGTCTTGGGGGGAAACGGTGGCTTAAGACAGGCCATTAAAGTCGACAGGCCTGTTGAGAGGAACAGTGATTGATGCGAGGGGATATCCGATGCGGTGGCAAGATGAATAAATCATGCAGGAATTAAAACCTATGAAGGAGATAAAGTTTACTAATATGCCTACATGAACACAGGGGAGTTTGAAAAAAAAACTGCATTTAAGTTGCATTTAAGTTCAGTGATGCTACCAAACCCAAAACGTAGAATAAAGCGAGTACTAGCCCAATTCTGAACCAAATCCGGATTGGACAGGGGCGGACTTAGAAGGGGGGGTCCGGATATCCTGACCCCCCTCTTGATTTCTGCATGCGTAAAATTTAGGGCGTGAAACGAGGGAGAGGGGGAGGGGGTTCCTAATCATATGGTACGCTGACCAACAGCTGACCCCCCCCGCCCCCTCAGGAAATTCCTGCATCCGCCCCTGGGATTGGATGAGAGCTATTTAACATGTGGCTCCCATGCCGAGGACGCATATTCTAGTTTTGGTCGCACTATTTCAACATAAGCAAGGCAGTTGACAGATGAGAAAACCAGACGGAGGTTACAGCATAAGAAATCAAGGATGCGCTTTGAATCAGAAAACGGCATTGCAGAGAAGGTAGCGAGAGAAATGTACAAGACATTCACAGTGCGAGACAGATTCCATGTCAAGGTTATATATAGTATGGTGTCCGTAGCGTGTTTCCGACCGGTGTGTTTAGCGTCCTATGCTGCCCACACATCAAAAGTGGTCCCAAAGTGGCAACAAATGACGCCACAGAAGCCGAAGTACCATGCTGTTGCATGTCATGATCCTGGCGGTTGGTCGTAGAAATGCTAAAGAAAAGGCTGCGAGTAGAACAACCGAACACGAGTGTCGCTGTCGTCAGGGCGTCCAACTTCTAGCTGCCAAAACGTCCGTGGACTGCAACACTGAAGAGCGACCTGCAGCAAAACATGCGTCCGTCACGTCCACCCGCGCTCCTGTGAATCTGCCAGGATTGCGGCCGGCAACAGCATGACACTTGTATGACGTCACCGAGAGGAAATCGAGGGACCACTTTTTCAGAATCGGTAAACACACCAGTCGGAGGCGCATTGCAGGCAGCATTCTAATGGAGTAAGCAGTGTACAAATGTCGGCAGATATTTTGATGTGAAACCAACCATTACTTAGGTGTGCATAACTTTCAAAGTTAAATTAGGTTTTGCGTGGTTGATATGACTCTGTAAATGACACAGACATAAGAAAAAAAGAAAAACACTAAAAGACAAGGATAGGGCAAGTTTTTTTTTTTTTTTTTTTTTAAATCACAAATGGGAGCAATGGTTCAACTAGATGTCTTTCTGGTACGCCAGAAGCTACGGGAGTGCCTCTGGAGTGACATATATGTATGGATGCTTTCGATCCATGCCAGTGTAGAGAAAGTGCGGAGACTTTTGTTAGTAGTCGCTTCTGAAAGACGTCACTGAAAGCTGAAGGCACTATATTGGACAGGGACAGCAGTCCCTGCAGACTATTTTCTCTCACGATCCAAATGACCGCTCGAACAAGAGCAAGAGTCAAAGAAGATGCTGACAGAGCCCCGAGGGAAAGTCATAAAAAGAGAAGCAAGCATGCCTCGTGAAGCGCAGAAGTGCTATGCTGCAATGGCACCAGACCTAGGTGAGTATGATGCCTTCAGCATACTCAGGAGGCTGCTTAATAGCCACCAAAATAGGGTCACCCTTGAGAGGGTTGATGGTCAGCCTGCGTCGCTTCGGTGTCCAGCCGTCCATGCAATGTCACGACCTGCCTCCACCTTGTCGACCGTAGCAGACAGGCAAAAAGACAGCACGTGGCCGTCCCCGGAACAGCTGTGCTTGGTGAAAGACACTGTAACAACAGAGTTACAATCCAGCATTATGCTGTCTCAGCTGCTCCGTACCAGAGAACAAAAAACTGTGAGCCCCTTGTTATTTTCCTGCACTTGACACCAGAAATGGTTGAAGGACTGCACTTGTGTCTGCGGATGCCCAGTCCTTCGATAACAAGACGGCGCAACAGCTGTAACGCTTGCTGGTATCCCGGAAAAAGCCGTATCCGAAAAAAAGAGTCATAAAATGGTTTCAGGTGTAACCGTTCACAAGCTTCGACGCGAGCGAGTAAGCACTGTCTTGAGAACTTTGACCAGCGAAATTGGTTTCCATCAACTTTTCTCAGCCGTGTTGACACCTACAGACGACTACCGACGCCTTGCAAGCAGAGAATTAACGCTGTGTCTAAAGGTAGTTTGGACGTACCCGGAAGCATTTCTTAGATACGTTGGACATACTCGGCCGATTTTTTCAAAGGTACGTCGGACGTATGCGCGGTGCAGATCTTATATATGAAGACAGCTCCTGGTGTGCGCCGAGGGCTCAGGAGTCAGGACTCCGAGGACCATGCTTACAAATCACAGCGCGAACTTACGGTAGCAGTGCTGTTCCCCACGGGAACGGCAACCTATAGCAACCTAATATGGGTCGGACGTAAAAGAAAATCGACATGGAACGTCTGACGTGATCAACCGTATCCTCGAGCCTTGCGCCAGTCACGCGAAACCACCAAAACCTCTCACGCATTCCTTCTCGGCTTCCACTCGAAGACACTCCATATGCCCTGCGTACCTATCCTCAAGAGCAATGAACATTCCGCAGGTCGAGTGCAGAGAGAATGCAAAACTTTCATGCGAGTTATCCGCGCGATGTTTGACATGTACGACCGATTCGGATCGGTGCCCATACCTGGTTAGATCTTGTGCGATACGTGCATACCCGGCTCTATTTGTTCATCGTCTGTCTGGCCAAACATAGCACGCATGGAGATTTACCAATCTCCCACAGCACGATCATTCCGGTTCAATGCGACTCGCACCGCCGTTGCCGCCGTCGCCGCACCAGTCGCCCCAACCAGCTTGCTCTTTTTACTAAAGGTCTAAGCTCAAGTGCTGATCATAACATACCTGCGGATGCCCTCTTTCTAGATTTCGAAAAAGCTTTCGATTAAGTTCCACACCAGCGTCTCTTATTAAAACTTTCGCGTTTAAACCTCGACCCTCAAGTCTGTAACTGGATTCGTAACTTCTTGTGAAACCGACAACAATTCGTTCAAGCTAATAACCACTCTTCGCCCCGATCTCCGGTTGCTTCTGGAGTGCCCCAGGGCACTGTTCTCGGTCCCCTACTTTTCTTAATTTACATAAATGACCTACCTGCTAATATTTCATCTAACATACGCATATTCGCAGACGACTGCGTTGTTTATCGTCCTATAAATAGCAGCACTGACGTTCACGCCCTGCAGTCTGATCTTCACCATATTGAGGCCTGGTGTGCTAGATGGCTAATGTCTTTGAATGCTAACAAAACATCCCTTGTTTCTTTTCATCGTAGGCAATTTTACCCATCTCCTACACTCTCAGAAAAAAGGTGTATTATTACACCCCTTGTCCCATATAATACACCCCAAAACTTCAATTCGACCGTACAGCGCCCCATAATCGAACAGGCGGATCAAAAGTTTACGAGGGGCTTGATAGCCGTGTGGTACAACTTATTAAGATAGCTGATGTACGTATTATTGACTACAAAAAGTATTATCGGAGTTTTCTTGGCCGTACTGCAAAAGCTTCGTGTTTTCTTTCTTTGGTCTTTGATACGTGCTTTAGCAATTTAATAAGCTATATCGCACCGTTATCCAGCCTATGTTAAAATGTTGTGCCGTCTGTTCGACTATAGGGCGCTGTACGGTAGAAATGAAGTTTTGGGGTGTATTATATGGGACAAAAGGGTGTAAGGTGATACCCTTTTTTTTTAGAGTGTAACTACTTCATTTGTGGTTCACTCATATCTCCTGTACCATCATATAAATACCTAGGCATTACCTTTTCAAACGATTTAACTTGGTCATCTCACATAACGAACGTAGCTAATGACGCGAACCGCGTCCTTGGCTTTCTACGTCGCAACCTACGCTTAGCCTCTCCATCGGTAAAACTACTATTTTTCCACTCACTAGTCCGACCCAAACTAGAATATTCATGTGCTGCTTGGAACCCACATCAATCTAATCTTACTAAAACGCTCGAAGCCGTGCAAAATCGCGCAGCAAGATTCATCTACTCAGACTACTCTTATCATAGCAGTGTCACAGCGCTTAAATCTCAAGCTAATCTTTTTAACCTCGAATCACGGCGCAAAATTTCCAGGCTCTGCCTTTTTCACAAGTTTTATCACTCATCAATTGGCAGCTCTGTTATCGCAGCAGCTCACCACGTTTCATGCCGTTTCAGTCATCAGGAAGCTGTCTATCCTCCCATGCCCGCTGCACTGCGCATCTTTTTTCATTTTTCTGCCAGACAGCAAAGGATTGGAACGATCTGCCCACCGACGCCGTGCTCCCCTCCAACCCCGCCCATTTCAAGGCATTCATCGAAGAAATTTTTTGATGCTTCGTACTACCCTCATGTAATACCCCTTATTTGGGGCATTTGAGGTTTAATAAATAAAATAAATAAATAAATCTCTTCGTCGCCCGGACACCATCTCCGTCGACTTGTTGTCCGACGGTCGGACAACAGCCTGTCACACCAAGAAAGCATGTAGAACGACACGAAGTACCTCCTCCCTCACCCTTTATGCCTACCCTTGCCCTCTTTCGGTCATTTGCGCAGTGCGCAAAGCGCAACCGGAACCATCGCGTCGAGACGGTGCGT